CAAAAACTTAAAAACTTGAAGACATTAAGCAACCATACATTTGAGCAACTAAAAGTACGTATACGTAATATTTAATACAGCCCAACATGATGTGCAACAGCTCATCAAATTAGCGAAGCCCCTTATACCCTCGCTGAGCGCTGATCGCTAACCGTTGCCAACCTCCTCTAGCCATTTGAAAAAAATAATTAAGCTCGCCATAAATGAAATTCAAATTGCACAGCTCTATTACGAGACACTCATTAGAACCTTCTAAAAATCAAAATTTATAAGCCATGAAAATTTAATTAAACGAATTACGCGGAGCATATTGATCTGAACAAAAAGAATTTATAGAGGTGTTTATATTCGTAAAGAGTAATTTTACAAAATATAAGTGACCAACATTCATTTGGAAAAACGATTCAAATTTCAGTTTGGCCAACATTTTCTTGAGTAACGGGTCCCAAAAGGCCATTAAATATATAATGAACGCAAGCCAAGCATTTTCAATTTGCATATTTAGTTCATTGCACTAGCTCAAAAACGGTTAGGTAATATAAAATCGCAATTAAATATTCGTGAGTTCAGGTTATTTATTCTGATGTGAAAATTCTAGCCGAATTGATATATGGGCAAGCTAAGTCTTGACTAAACGTAACAGACTCTATTGGTTTTAGATTGATGCAATAAAAGCCAAAAAGTATTTAACATTTTTTATTTTTATTATTATTATTAATATATTTCGCATGACTCGGTAACACGAACTGAGAGTCCATAAATCTGGGACGAAAATTGAGGAACTGCATGCCAGAAAGTGTTTTGTAATTGACTGAGTATAAAATGAAAGTCGACTGACGACAATGCAGGGTATAAAAGCGCATTCTTTTCAAAATGCTTGTGTCAAATGCAAAAGGCAAACACAACTCAAGGCGAGGCCTACGGAAAATAAACTTCAATTAACAATTTGCTGGCAACCGTTGCAGTTGAATGCAATGCCAACATGTCATAAAAAGTTAATAGCTAAAAGATAGCTGAGACCAAACATGTCTAAACGAACATTAAATACCTTTCAGACATATAAGAGAAATCCCCGAAGAACTCGAATGGGAAATAGTTATTTTATTTTTCGACTATATTTCTGATATACACTAAATAAATTAACACGTTCGCTATTTGGCTATTAACATTGATTATGTACACACACAGATTGTGACAAAATCGTAGCGCCCTGAGAAGGGTATCAGCTGTGTACTAATAACAAATTCAATCAGAGCATTAGTAACTTAAGTGGAATGGCCAAACGAGTTGCAACAACTTTTGGCAGCACTTCTGCGACTGGTCTGCATGCTCAGCATGCAAACAATTAGGAAAACGGCTATGTGGAATTAGACAGCGATCGGTATTATGATTTATGTTATCCGCGAAATTGACATTTAATTTGTGTCAAGCGATCGCTCGTCGGACGCCGCGTATACATAATCAGCGTATTTTGTTCGATCGCATTGATGGCTTTTTAATTGCATTCGAGCTTTGCGAACTGCAAATTAAAATTAAGTCGTTTGCAGTCGTCTATTAATTATGAAAAATGAATATATGCTTAAGTCTTGCATTAATATTAGTCTTAAATAAGATCTAACCAGTTGGACATTTGTCTTAAAAGGGGCTTTTTCTTCTGTTTAAATGAACTTGCGAAACGATTTCTCAGGTTTTATAATGATGCCGGTATTGACTGTCTATTTGTTTGACCGTTGAGAGGCAATTTTTCGGTTTTTGTTTTTAAATGTGGAATGCATTCTTGAAGCATTATCTCAGACTGATACCAAATGTTTCAGACTACACAAACACAAAGTTTTCAATGCTGGCTGAGATGAATGTCTGTGCGACCTTCTTAAAAATGTTTCCAAGAGTGTTAAGCTGATAACTCTTCATAAATGTGCTTTGACCGTGAACATGTATTGAGCATTCGGTCTTATTTGGTAAATCGCATTTGTATGCTGAAAAGAATCTCAAATCACGTATTTGTCACACAGTCACAGTCACTCACACACGCACACTCAATTGTTAGTTGTCATTCAATTGACTCACAATCGGAAATTCTAAAAAAAAAAAAAAAGAAAAAACCCACAATGTGAGAGGGTCGCTTCTCGTGGTGGTGGTGGCTAAGCAGACCTAGGTCAGGCGAGGCAGTGCACCCTGCCAGGCCGCAAATTGGACACTTTTTACTCAATTAAGCAAATCAACAGTCGCAGCAGCAACGATACAAACAACGATATGATTTTGGCTACGACTACGATTACGATTGCGATTACGAGATATGGCTGCAGATCGGGCGGCTTAATTAGTTTGACTCGAATTAACCATACAACGGAAACCAAATTCTGCCCGGAATTTCGTGACCTTAGCCAATGTTGTTGATCCACAAAAAAGCTGCCCAGTCACCTAGCGCCTTAACCAAGTATCAATTCTGTTGGCAATTATGTAAATTACAAATTACATGGCACACTGATAATTATGGAACGATTTTCCAAAAGCCTCAAACAAATCACAGAAGAGCAAAAAAACAACAGAAAATAATGAAAACAATCAAAGTTAAATGCAACCTTGGGCGAAAAATTATAAAGCTTAACTTCATATAGCATACAGACATACATATGTATGTATGTACATATATGCAATATAAGATATGCAATACCCGATATACGATGTCTATCTAAATGCTGTTTGATCGTCGGATCGCACAGCACAATGCTGCACAGAATAGAGCATTAGTAACTTAATGGCAATTGCTGGATTTCACCTCATCAACAGAAGCAGCGATGCGATGCGGTACATTAAATCGATGATGTGAAAAGCCACCAGCAGCTACCAACTAATCTGACTGATAGACGGCCTGATGCCCTGTAATATCTATCTACCATAAATTGCAACTTGTTCCTCAAAATATGAAACCGTGCATTACTCATGCATAGCATAGGGATAAGAACTGCAACTAGCTAGAGGCTTAGCACCGCGCATATATGTAGTTTAACAACTACATATGCTCCACTGTTTAGATGTAGAGTATTTGAAAAGAACTTGTACTCAAGAATGCAAGCGATCTACTCCGGTCCAACAATGGACAATGGACAAAGATGCGGATAGAGAGATACCAGCACGGCATTGTATGCAGATATACGTAAACATGAATGTACAACGTACAAGTTTACAGTTTTCATTCGGCTTGCGCATGTGTGTGCATGCCCAGCTAATTGGGCGCGCACGGCATACGTAATTCGCGCTTGGGAAATGAGTTTCGCCTCTTGTCATATTACTTATACGTCCCATACAACGACTGTGGACAGCGCCTAAAGCTGTCGAAAAATGTGTGCCAAGCTGCCTAGCCAAACGACTCGGCCAAACGCCTCTGATAAAGCTATGCTAAACATTTGCCTAGAAAAAAAAATTATATATAAATACTGAAATGTTTCACAATCGCGTGTGGAACTTGTTTAGAACGAAGCGATTGGCCGCGTTTTTTTCGCACCTGTCAGCTGGGCCCGACTGCAAATCGCGGACCTATTAACGGAATAATTAATTCATAATACACTTGGGCCAAAGGCAGACGCCACCCAGCGCTAAGAGTTTTGTTTCCTGGACTTGGATCGTAATCGGAATTGGATTGCAGCCAGGGACTGTGGCAATGCCAATGTAATTGAGCGACATATTTCATAAAAACAAGACAAGACTCGGCAATTAACCTGTTTTAATGAGTTTTTTGTTGGTTTAGTACTTCGCTTAAAATTGAAATGTGGCGAGACTAAGGACAAGTTGACGGGTAATTGCCATTATAGCGCAAACTATTCCACTTTATACATGACATTGGAGCCAGAGAATCGTAAAATCGGAGAATCGGCAATCCGATCGTTGTACACAACCAGAAGTTGTTTGCTCAATGACACTCTGTTGGATTAAATGACATAATAAAGCGAAGCTTAAAGACCTCCAACAGTAGCCAAGTCCGTCATCTAAATGAGACTTAATAATTCCGCTTGGAATTGGAACTGTACATTTAATATATTTCACGCTCAGTCTTTCCGTACTTAACGAGATTCCTGGGCAAGCACATAGTAAATTTCCTGTAGGCGACCATAAAAGTCTCATATTTCAGATCAGCACTCACTTTCAATTCAGTTTCAGAATAAAAAAATACTATTGGGCCCAATAGCGTAAATGAAAATATATGCCTTGTATGAATATTTAGCTCATAAAATGCTGCATCTATTAAATCTATATTTTATCGATATGCAAATGGCTGTAATAGATTTCAATCGAATCCAGCTGCAATTACTAAGCTTATACAAGCACTTAAAAGTTCTGTTTGCTCATGGCGCTATTGCTGCACGTCATAAACAGCAAAATGCAAATATTTTATTTTAAAACCCATTTCTAAGCCGTTATACATGAAAATGTGTTTGTTACTATCTACTTCATGCATACGCATTGAATATGCGTATGCCAATGGTTGAGTTGTGAATTCCTGGAGTAGAAAGGAACTTCAAATAGAAAGGAGCTTCAAATAATGATAGGATACGACTGTAATTATGATTGTGGCTTCACTCCGGCTTATGATTTACGTCAGAAGCTGTCGACGTAGTTAGTATTCAAAGCAAGCATACGATTACCACTCAACAGCGCGAGCTCGAATTTTATGGCAGCCGGAGATAAGAAACTTATCTTAATCTATTTGTTTTACTGTTTATTAGTTCATAATTGACTTGAGTCGTATTAGATTAAATTTTATGTCCAGCACTCAATTAAAACGGTTGTAAGATAAATTAAATGCATACACAGAGTCAATTATAGCTGAGTATAGAGGAAAATCCAATAGTTACGATCGGTCGCGATCATTAAATGCGGTAAGCAGAATTAGCTTCCTCCAAAATCTTTCTCTGCTGGGTCATTTGTGTAGTCACTCCTTGAATGTACATCAGCCTAATCTTATGCATCTGCTAAGTGAATTGTCTCTTTTCTATAAGCAGCTATCGATATGGGTTCGCTGCCACAGCTGTCAATTGTGAAAGGCCAGCAACAGGATTACGTGCCCCGGGCTCTGCATCGAATCTTCGAAGAGCAGCAGCTGCGCCATGCCGACAAGGTGGCGCTCATATATCACCAGGGACAGGGTCAAACCCTGGCACCTAGCCAGAGCAGCTATCGCCAGATGAACGAGCGTGCGAATCGTGCCGCACGCCTACTCGTCGAGGAAACCCACGGACGTTTCCTTCAGCCAAACAGCGATGGTGACTTCATTGTAGCCGTTTGCATGCAACCATCGGAGGCACTGGTCACCACATTACTGGCTATTTGGAAGGCGGGCGGTGCCTATCTTCCCATCGATCCGAGCTTCCCGGCTAATCGGGTCCATCACATATTGTTAGAGGCTCGACCGATTCTAGTACTACGTGATGATGACATCGATGCTCAGCGTTTCCAGGGCACGCCCACATTATCGTTGACTGAACTGTATGCGAAGTCGTTACAACTAAGCGGCGGCAATCTGCTCTCGGAGGAGATGTTGCGCGGTGGAAACGATCACATTGCCATCGTTCTCTATACCTCGGGCAGCACAGGTGTGCCCAAGGGTGTGCGTCTGCCTCATGAGAATATATTGAATCGCTTGCAATGGCAGTGGGCCACCTTTCCTTACACGACCAATGAGCAGGTGGGCGTGTTTAAGACAGCACTTACCTTTGTCGACTCCATTGCGGAGCTATGGGGTCCTCTTATGTGTGGTTTGGCCATTCTGGTAGTGCCCAAGGCGGTCACCAAAGATCCTCAACGCCTTGTAGCACTTCTTGAGAAGTATAAAATTCGTCGTTTAGTTCTGGTGCCCACTTTGTTGCGTTCCCTGCTCATGTATCTAAAAATGGAGGGCGGTGGTGCGGCTCAGAAATTGCTATACAATCTGCAGATTTGGGTCTGTTCAGGTGAGCCGTTGGCCGTGCCGTTAGCCAGCAGCTTCTTCGATTACTTTGATGAGGGAGTGCACAGACTGTACAACTTCTACGGCTCCACCGAGGTGATGGGCGATGTGACTTACTTCGCCTGCGAGAGCAAGAAGCAGCTTAGCCTGTACGACAATGTGCCCATAGGTGAGCTCTTCTGTCTCCTTCTGTCCTCTTGCTTTTCCTGTGCTTATGTATCTATCTTTTCCTAGGCGTACCCGTCTCAAACACCGTCATCTATCTGCTGGATGCGGACTATCGTCCAGTCAAAAATGGAGACATCGGCGAAATCTTTGCTTCAGGTTTGAATCTGGCTGCGGGCTATGTGAATGGTCGTGATCCGGAGCGCTTTCTCGAAAATCCTTTAGCTGTAGAGAAGAGTAAGTGGGACCCTTGAAACATCCTGCTGAATGAATTTCTAATCGATCAGCTTCACAGAGTACGCGCGTCTGTATCGTACCGGTGACTATGGCTCGCTGAAGAATGGGAATATCATGTATGAAGGACGCACCGATTCGCAGGTGAAGATACGCGGGCATCGGGTCGATTTGTCCGAGGTGGAGAAGATCGTGGCCGAGCTGCCGCTGGTAGAAAAGGCCATAGTGCTTTGCTACCGGGCCGGACATGTGGATCAGGCCATTCTCGCCTTTGTCAAACTGCGCGATGATTCACCTGCAGTCACTGAGATGCAGTTGGAGGGCAGGCTCAAGGACAAGCTGGCTGATTATATGACACCACAGGTGATCATATTGGAGCATGTGCCGCTCTTGGTCAATGGCAAAGTGGATCGCCAGGCTCTGCTAAAAACCTATGAGACAGCCAACAATAACGAAGGCGATTCTAGCATTGTGCTCGACTTTGACTACAGTCAGGTGCCCGACGAGCTGAAATTGACGGCACGTGATCTCTTCGAGACGGTGGGCGGTGTCATTGGACGCTCTACACGAGCAAGCCTTTCGCCTCACAGCAACTTCTATGAGCTGGGCGGCAATTCACTCAACTCTATATTCACGGTCACCCTACTGAGGGAGAAAGGCTACAACATTGGAATCTCTGAGTTCATAGCGGCGAAAAATCTGGGAGAGATTATCGAGAAGATGGCTAGCAACCATGATGCAGTACAACTGGAAGAGGAGACGCTCAATGCATGCCCGCATCTTAAAATGGAGGCGGTTCCTCTCAAACTGGAGCATCGTCAGGCTGTGATTGAGTGAGTAGTTCGATTGAGTTCATTTAGTATGCCATAATTTAAAATCCTTGGCTATGCAGCATAATCGTATCCAGTTTCTACAACAAGGCAGATTTGGAACAGTGGCTGAAGCCCGGTGTTGTGCGCACAGATTACAGTGATTTGCTTAATGTAAGTGTAGAGCAGTACCCAATAGCAGTAGCTTCTGTAACTTATCCATTAATTTCTTTGCAGGAAATTTGGACCGTTCTGGTGGAGCGGGAACTCAGCTTTGTGGTATACGATCGAAATACGGAACGCATCATAGGCACTGCTCTCAACTTTGACGCGCGCGCCGAGCCTGAGGTGGACATAAAGTCCGAGTTGATCACTATATTTGAATTTCTAGAGTTCTGTGAAGGACCTATACGGTACGTGACACGGTTAATTTGCACTACATTGACCCTAAAACCAACATCTTGCTTTATGTTTTTAGAGATAATTATTTGCCCAAGGGCTTGAATAAAATATTACACTCGTTCATGATGGGAACCGCCGAACATCTGAATCCTCGCGAGAATATTGCTTGCATGCATTTCATGGAATACGAGGTGCTAAACGTGGCACGTAATAAAAAATTTGCCGGCATCTTCACCACCAATACCAGCCCTCTGACGCAACAGTTGGCCGATGTCTACCATTACAAGACGTTGCTCAATTATCAAGTCAACGAGTATGTTAGCTCGGATGGCAGTCGGCCCTTCCGGGATGCACCTGACGAACAGCGCGCCATCGTCCACTGGAAGGAGGTGGCCAGCAAGTAGAATGTATCTATTAGGATTCATTAGTACGATCGAATTTAAGACGCAACTATATTGTAACTCGTAGCATGTATCATATTTATATATATGTATCTATACATACATATATAGAATTTAGTCTCTAGTATATTGCATATACTATGCAATATATTGCTTAGATCTACCTTCTAGTATTAGCCCAAGGCATTGTCCAATCAAAATTGATCAATCTATGTTGACTAGTTGTAAGCTTTCAATGCAATTAAACAAAAACAACAAAGTATCCAATTTCGCGATTCTTTTATTATTGATGATTAAGCAACCAAGTAATGATAAGAGCTGGTAAGATGGGTCTATTAGAGAATCGTCATAAATATTCATAAACATCTGGAGCAGCAAAAGAGTAAAATTTAGTTACAGATCTGATATTAAAATCGAAGTTCCTTCCTTGGGATCCAACCGAAGTAAGCACTCTTATCTCACATTTACAATTACAGTAGAGCGGCATGTTGTAAGAAATACAAAACACTTAGGTAAAGTTTAGCTTGATAAGAGTAGTCTGTAATATTAAGAATCTATTCCTGTTAAAAAAGTTTTGCTTTAAACATTAAAGCCATAAATATGGTTGGTTTATTTTAGACTATTACACATTTTCTCAAGATTAATATTAAATTTTTACTGCGGTTGCTTCGCTTTAATTTTAATTTTTTTGTTTTTTATACTTTTACATACATTTATAATATTTATATTTTATATAATTTTTTAACGTTAAGGTGAGCTTTGCATTTCTTTACGTGGCTCCAAATAAGTATTATTATGCTTCTTGCTAAATTAATTATACAGTTGTCTTTGCTCGAGGACTAATTACATAATGCTATTATGCATATATATATATATATATATATATATATATA